AATTAAAAAATTACCATCTATTAACGATTTAATACCAAAAATTATTTAAAATAAAATTTTTTAATTCACTAATAATTTGAATTATAACGTTATTTATTAATTTTAAATTATTAAATAAAATTTTTATTAAATATCTAATTTATAATAATTTTAAAATAAATAAATTTATTAAATACTTATCTTTAACATTTAAAAAAAATTACTAACCATTACCCCAACTATTATATCAAATGAATACTATATTAAAAACTTTTATTTAACACCGACTATTTTAGCAATGCTAAATATGCAATGTTTTGAACTCCACCAAAGCAACCAATGGGCGCGCTTCATTTGAGGGTAAAATGTTCATTTAATGATCGAATTTTTAATAGTTAATAATTAATTACAATTAATTTTTTAATTATTATTCTTGTTAAAAAAAAATGCTATGTCTAAATATAATTTTTTTTAGTAGCGCCGTGTTTAAGGATTGTATGGATTTATTCGAGTAATTTATGAAGTGAAATTTCACGTGTGTATTCTGAACAAGTCTGCCATTCACATGCGTGTATTCTGAACAAGTCTGCCATTCACATGGGTGTGGTCACGTAGTGAGTGGTAGGAGAAAGTGGTGCCGATCCCATACGTCGGGATAATTTGTGTATTCTGAACATGTCTGCCATTCACATGGGTGTATTCTGAACAAGTCTGCCATTCACATGGGTGTGGTCACGTAGTGAGTAGTAGGAGAAAGGTGGTCCCGATCCCATACTTTGGCATAATTTGTGTATTCTGAACATGTCTACCATTCACATGGGTGTATTCTGAACAAGTCAGCCATTCACATGCGTGTGGTCACGTAGTGAGTGGTAGGAGAAAGTGGTCCTGATCCCATACTTTGGGATAATTTGTGGCTATCTAACCAATAGGGTGAGATTTCGAAGCTTAATCCTCCCGGAAAATGTGTTTGGTAGTACACATAAGTATACTTTACAGCATTATGTATTTGTCATTTCTGATTATGATATTTGTCTTGTGGTCATGTAATATTATAATATGTATAGTTATTATCGTATATAAAAATATAGACACATAATCTTAGGTTTTTTTTTTAATATCTAGTTATGTTATTTTAATTTAAATATATTAATTAATAAATATTATATTTTATTAATTATCAGCTAATACTTAATGTTATCAATCATTCCTAGCATTTAAAATAAATCAAACTAATATCTTTAAAGGTAATATTATTTTGTAAATAGATTATTTTGAAGTAATTAATTAATTATGAATTGTTTTAAAACATGTTGAGTCTAACAATTGATATGACATATGATTTTATATAGCTTAACATAATTGTATGTTATGACAAATATTAATGTCCATAAATTTTAAAGACAATAGTACCTATCAGTTTTATCTCTTAAAAATTAAGAAAAAAATCATCATCAAATTACGTCGTTTCAATACATTTTTATTAAAAAAAACTAAACTACTATATTTTTAAAACATGTATTAAAGTGATTTTTATCATTTTTTTTTAAAATTTTTTGAAGGTAAGACAAATAAATACTAACCTTAATTTTAAAACTCAAGTTTAAAACTTTAATTTATAGTGGGGTTTAGCTCATGCTATTCTTCTCATTTCAAATACGCAGCTTGTGTAGAAGGTCACCAAAACTAGAGAGCTTTTAGTATAAGTTTCTAGTTATTATGTTGTACTTGATGTTAAGACGAACCATTGCGTTATAAAAATGGTGATTTTAGTTAAATTATTTTGCAAAACATTAAAAAAAGGCAAATGCGCACACGTCTATTTTGTTGACTATGTTTGCGTATATAATCACACCTATCATTGAAGCTTAGCGTTGTCCATTTTATAGCTTGAAGTACTTTTTCCTAAACTAGTTTTATATGCAAGCCGTTCTCCTGTTTATATTGACTTTGTTTTTCTGCACTGACCCCTGTTATTAAGAAATTACATTGGATTTTGATTGATCTAAGATTAAGTTGGATCAGATCTCATATGGAAAAAAACTCTTTCAGTACTTATTTTTTCATTCACGAAACTCAAATTCAAAATTTTATTTAAAAAAAACTAAATTCTTTTCACTTAAACTAAGATATTGTTGATTTTATTTATATTGATTTAAAACAAGAGTATTATGTAGTCCTTGTTAAACTAGTTTTGTATGCAAGCTAGTGTCCTGTTTAGACATTTAAAATGACATGTATGTGGGTTCTTTTAAAGAATTATTTATATTGATTTAAAATAAGAGTATTATATTTTAAGAAATGTTTTAAGTGATTAAAGTTTTAAAATTATAAATAAAAATTTTAAATTTAAATCTTAAAATTAATAAAATGAGATCAAGGAAAAAGAATTATTATTTTTTATTATTTAACTTACCCTTTGATATTTCAAAAAGGAAAAAGAACCAGGATATTATATTTTCTAAATATTTTACTTCATTACATTGTTTCCTAAAGATCTCATTTCCTGGCTCTTACAGGCCTAAGGGGACCTAAAGAAAAAAAGCCCTCTTTGCTAGTCAGTTATAGGAAGTAATATAATTATAATGTTATATATAAATATAAGTTTATAATAATAATATAAAATTAGATAAATAAATACATATAATATATAAATTTTTAAATAAAACAATTAATTATATAATAAAATGATATAATTATAAATTTATAATAATATTATATGATATTATAAGTATAATATTTTCAATTAATTATCTTAAAAAATTCATCAACCTGGCATCAACTTCTACCTCTGTGTAACCATCAATATATAATCCAAACTCTATAATTTATCTTCATATATCAATATTCTACTGCGGCAAAAAGGTGATTCCCATTGGATACGCTAGGTTCAATCAGAATCGAATGAATCGAGCCTAGACAAAGGGTACATGAAAAAGGACGTTGGAGACAGTTGCTATTATTTTTTCTTTTTTCTTTCTTTTTTTTTTTCCCTAAAGGAACATGGCATAAGATGGACTTTGGCTGGTGGATGATTTAGGGATGGATGGAGAAACTGGATTGTGGGTTGCACTAGAAAGATTGATTGGTCTTCTATTTTGATGATTGTACCATAAGCGATTAGGGATGGCCTTCAAATTGCCATTGATAGAAATATATCTCCTTTAATTATGGAGTCTAACTCTAATATTGCTATTTTTTTTTATCTGAAGACCCTTGAGTTTCATCCCCTCAATACTCGGTTAAAATTTATTTTTAGTCTTTTATTTTAATAAATTTATAAATTTTAATTTTTTATTTTAATAAATTTATAAATTTTAATTCCTTATCTTATATTATTACATTTTTAATCTTTTACCTAAATAAATTTGTAAGTTTCACTTATCACTTTATATTATAACATTTTTAGTCCTTCATTTATACAAATTGAAGAAAATAACCATTACTTAAGATTATGTTATAACGTTCTATTAATTTTATTAGTTGACTATTAACTTTGTTAGTTGATTATTAACGTTCTGTTAGTATTCTGTTAATAAAATTAATAAATTAAATTAAATTTAAATTTCATATTTTCTATAACAAAATACTAACAAATACTAACAATTAACTAACAGAACTAATAGAATATTATAACTTGATATTAAATGAGGATTATTTCTTTAATTTATATAAGTGAAAAGTTAAAAATATCATAATATAAAATAATTGACTAAAACTTACAAATTTATTAAAATAAAAAATTAAAAATATTATAATATAAAATAAAAAATTAAAACTTATAATTTTATTAAAACCAATAACTAAAAATAACTTTTTACCTGTTGCTTTTAAAATAAAAAATTTAAAAATATTATAATATAAAATAAAAAATTAAAACTTATAAATTTATTAAAACCAATAACTAAAAATAAATTTTTACCTTTGCTCTTATTTTTCACTGCAGGCAGACGCTACAACAGATACCTCATGTACTGCAGGCACACCCTACGACAGATACCTCACGTATGTGAATGTTACTCACGTGGTACGGAAAGCTTAATGTTATTCACGTGGTACGGAAAGCAAACATGGCAGCGGATGCTATAGCGAAAGTAGGACACAATATCTTAGAGGATTTTGTTGTCTTGGATTGTATCCCTCCCTCGGTCCAATATACATGTAATGCTGATAATTACGCGTTGAATTTCCCAGAACCTACAGATATACTTTTGCTTTATGTTATAATATCTCACTTATTTACAAAAAAAAAAAAAAAAAAAATAGTATATTAATAAAGAAATCAATATTACGTAGAATCCTTGTGTAGAGGCCGCTGCAGCCAAACGAAGCTATGCTTTTTGCACTATTTATAGAAAAAATTTGTTCACGAGAAATTTCAACAAGGGTCATTTAATTCTGCTGCTGGTCTATGTGGTCAGCGTTCCATTCATATTATTAGGTTTAAATCTTTTATTCCTCATTCTCTCTTTCTTTCTCTCAATTCCCTTAGTTCAAAAAGAAAAGAAAAAGTTTATAATTAGAAAAAAAGATATTTTTTAATTGCTCTCTTATTTTTTTAAGAATATGTTTAAAAATTTATTTTATATTTATATTTTAAAA